AGGGGATGCTGCCACCCTTGGACATTTGTGTGTAGGAACATTTTTTTGAGGATTGGGTCTGAAGCTTTCATTAGGTTCTGAGGGAATCTTAAAGAGGTCATGGCCCAGAAGAATTGTCTTCGTGATGGCCCAGTCAGCGCATTCCCCAAAACAGCCAGGCAAGATTCAGGTAGAGGTGAGGTTTCTGCCTCTGTGTCAGTGCTGTCCAGTACAGTAACCTCTGGCCATAAGTGCCACTTAGGTGGCTAGTGGCTATTGGCCACTCTCTTGGACAATACAGGGTTCTAAGTCACTTAGTAAATTTGAAATGGAGGGGGCCCTGACCTGTGCCAACTGATAAAAGGGATGTAGGTGGACAAAAACTTCTATGCTTCCTGGCCCCTCTGTGAGCTTGCCCTCATCTGCTTAGCTTTTTCTGCACTTCTCTGCCCCAGGCTGCTCGTGACCTAAACCCCACTTAGCTCACACACGCCTGCTCTGTGCCTGTCCCTCTGGCTATCACTCTGGGGCTTTTATAGCAACTCTAGTTTCTCTCCCTTTCAACTGGCATCCATGTTATTCCTTCATTCCTTCCCACCAGTATGCCACTTTTTTTTTCTGTCCATCTTTCCCACTGGGCTGGGAACTCCCTGAGCAGGGAGTGGGTCTTGTTTATGGCTAAGCCGCACCCAGCACAGGGCCTCAAGCTGAAGAGGCCCCAGGGGACCCTTTATAGACTAAGAGATACATACCATGAGGTATGTATGGTTGGCTCACCTTGGTAGGAGGTAGGGCAGGAATGAGTGGAAACAGTGATGGAGAGACCATGGCCCTATTAAAAGTCTAAGAGTGGTAGGGTGAAGTGGGGGGGCTTTGTCCCTCGTAGCAAGGTGACCCTGTTCAAGCCAGATCTTGCTGAGTTGCATGTGTAAGTGGGGGTGTCATCACAGGGAACACCACAGGTACCTGGCAACCCCTCTAGATAAATTGAGCACCATCTTAAAGCTGCACGCCCTGACCCCCCCACATAAACACACTTACATAATTTAAGCCAAGATAACAGGAATTGTCCCCCAGGACTTGGTGGGTGCCATATGACCCTTGCTGGGTTGGGGCATGACTGATGCCGCAGATGAGAAGAGCACCGAATTAAGAAGTTAACCCACTTAATAGACTTAAAGAAAATGTGGACAGTCCTCCCCCAACCTTGAATTTAGGTGAATTAAAGCTAGCAGTGAAGCGATGTGGCCTGCCAATATCACAGTCAGTCTCCAGTCCCGTGTCCAAAGTCCCTTACTGGGCTGGATGACATCCACCTCCTCATGCTTGCATCTACCCAGACACACACTTCCCTCAGTCACTTCACAGCACCTCTTAGCTACTGCAGGAGTTCCCAAACCCTGGTCCTCAGGTTCCCCCTGCTCCCCCTCACCCAGGGCAAGAAGTACAAACCCCTGGATCTGCGGCCCAAGAAAACGCGTGCCATGCGCCGCCGACTCAACAAGCACGAAGAGAACCTGAAGACCAAGAAGCAGCAGCGGAAGGAGCGGCTGTACCCACTGCGGAAGTACGCGGTCAAGGCCTGAGCATCCGGGCGTCAATAAAACAAACAAACTGGCTGATGTTCCTTTGTG